GTGTGTGTGTGTGTGTGTGTGTGTGTGTGTGTGTTATGGAGGTGCAAAGTTTCAGAGGCTGAGTCAGCAAATGAGAGCACCCGAGCTTAGCTGAGTCAACGCCCTTAAGAAGTCCCGGTTGGTGTGTCATTGGCGCCACAGACAAATAGGTGTGAAAATGACATACACAAATAAATTGCTAGGATTTTTTCACCACGTTGCTTCAAGAGTGGCAGCATTCTCAGCTCATCAGTCAGCAGCTTCGGTACAGACTGAAACATATCAATATTCAACGGGTAATTCTCTATAAAAATCTGTTCACTCAGAGATCTTTAAGGCCTCGTCGTGGTTCTTCATGCCTCAATGACGTTCATGTTCTTGTACTTATTCTGTGTTTGGATTATTTGCACCACTAAGGAGTCTACAGGTTTCATTATACCATAATAGGTGACAATAAGGTGCTCGTTTGTCAATTATCGATAACACAAGGAGACAAAAATAAATCTTAAGTGATTGCTCATCTGGAATGTTGGACAGATTCCCTTGAGGTCCGAAATTGACCAAACATGAATAACAGTAAATCTCCTGGCAGATAGCGTTTTCTACTTGGTGCCATCTTCTGATTGGGAGCAAATATTTCTGCTGATGCACTCAATATGGTTTGCAAAAGGTCCTGACAGATCATCGCAGACAGATTGAAATAATGAAAATCTGTCACACTGAACTTGTGGTTGGAGCTTAGAAATACAAATTTTGTCCCACAATCCTCACGTTCTGTCTAAAAGGAATATTTGAACTTTTTGCAACTATTGGATGCAAAGCAGAACAATGCGTTGAAGGATTTTGTGGTTTGCATTAGGTTTTATGAGCCATTAATAAGAGCTTGCGTTCATAAATAATCAAATATCTGTAAAAGCATTCCTATCAGCCCTATGTGTTTGCATTAGACTTTAGTGGGTTTTTGTAAACCTATAAAATTGTCAACACAGCCATAGATTCTTATTCTCTTCAACGTTTGCTTTTGTTCTTTTATTAATAGACAACCTTGAACTTCCAGACTCAGCTGTTTTTTCCTGGTTCTCACTTTGACCCTTTTTCCAACTGTCCTTCTATGTTTAAGTGGTTGGTCAGGAGGATCACAGTCTTTTCCTGTGTATTAAGATCTTGAGGGTCAAAGTTGACTCGCTCAAGCAGTAGTAACATGCCGGTCCCTACCATCCTTTCATTATCTGTCAGGAAATTAAATTAAAGCCTTTTTCATGTAATCCTCATTCTTTATTTCACAGCTGCACTGGATGGAAAGCCAGACTAAAGTCAGTATCTCACTAGGCTGTGACTGTTGGTGAAAAATTGCAAACAACATTTATGAGGGTGTTAACAAAGTGTTTGTAAATGGTCTAGAGAGTTTTTAATTACTTTATGCAGCTAAGTTGTGACTGATTAGAGTCAGATAAATAGACACTTGTGCACTTATTCTCTGAGGTTTGCGACCCTGTCACAGAAAGTCACAGGTTCGACTCCATGCCCACATGTCATTGTGTTCTTGAGCAAGACATCCAACCCCTAACTGCTCCCCAGGCACTTACATAGCTGCCCGCTTCTCCACTTGGGTGATTCTCATATGTGATGGATCAAATGCAGAGCACAAATTTCATCATTGCATGGGAAAATGCATTGATGACAAATAAAGTACATCAACCGTTTCATTATTTTTTTTATTTACCCTTGACTGCTGACAACAAAAGGTTTTCTGTACTGTGGAGAGTCCTTGGAAGGACCAAATTCCTCAAATGTCAAGCTTTCTACCAGGAATTTGTACATCAATTGTGTGACATACGCAAATGTTTTAATTCTGTGTGAATCCAAGTGAAAATTTGCTAATTTTTCCACAATCTCGTATTTCTAACTAGTTTATGGCCTGCCTGATCATCACAGGTTCCATCAGAACAATACCCACAGCAGCCCTTCATGTCCTACTGGACATGGCTTCACTAGATTTGCACATCATAAGGGACACCGCATCCAGTGCAGGTTACGCCTGTCTGGTAGGTGGAAAAACCTATCTGACTCACAGCACACTAGAACCTGGAGACAGAATGGTCAAAAAACACTATTTTAAGCCAAGTTTTAAGACAGATTAGAGACAGGCCTGCCTGGAGTAACCTCTCCATGCTGGACCTGTCTCCAATCACTTCTACTGTTTTACAGATGGATCCATTTTGAAGGGGTAGGTCCAGGGGGGCTGATTTTGCACAACCATAGTGAGATAGAGCACAAATACCCACTAGGTGGTTTTGCAACTGTATCTCAAGCTGAGATATATGCATTCCACCAGTGTGTGGCATCTCTCAAATACCTTCAGTGTACACAGAAGGAAATGTTCATATTAACAGATAGCCATTCTGTTATTATTTCTCTAAGGTCCACACTTCATTAATGTCTTGGGAGTGATCCAAAGCAGTCAATCAACTGGGGAGAGATAACAGTGTTAAGGCCCTGTCACACTAGACAACTTATGCCAGCTTATGAAATATTTTTTATGTCTAAATTGTTAATAAAAGTTATATATTTGCTCAATTTCTTAGCATTACATTATGTACACACCAAAAAGAAGCTTCCTGTTGATTTTTTCAATTCCAGCTTCAATGTAGACGTCTTTAAAATGTTCATAAGTTGTCTAGTGTGACAGGGCCTTTACTGCTAAATGGGTACCAGGGCATACTGGCATTAATGGTAAGGTGAGAGCTGACTACCTTGCAAAAGCTGGCAGTCAGGCCCACTTCAGAGGACCAGAGTCTGTTGTAGGTATCTGAACAACAGTCTGTAGGACTGCTCTACATGCCTCAATTAGATGTCAACACTCAATCCGCTGGAGGGAGCTGACGGACTGTAGACAGGCACAGGAACAGATAAATGGCCCAAACCTTAGCTTTGGGAAAGTTCTCATCAACCTGACAAGGAAAACTTTAAGTACACTGGCTGGACTTTTAACTGGGCACAAACTCCATAACAGTCTGTGTGTCATACATGTGACATTGATTTAGTGACCTCTTTGCACTACTTAGGCCATGGCCTAACTCTGATCAGTCAAAGAAAAAATATTCTTGGGGATCACTTTATGAGTCCTGAGAAGCTCAGAACACAGTGTTTCTAACCTTGTATCCTTCATCCAAGGAACACAAAGGTTTCATTAAAGCTTCGTGTCCTTTTAGAGAGAGCAATGGGTCCACGAGATCCCCGCTCATATGGATTCTAAATCCATCCCCGTTCACCAAACCAAGAAACTAGTCACAGACCGATGAGAAACTGGCATAGGGCTGAATACAACAGAGGTCGACTGATATGAGTTTCTATGGCTGAGACCGATATCAGTCTTTAGATCGGGCCAGACAATAGACAATGAAAAATATTGAATTGTTTTTGTTCAACATGTATTTTTTTATATAGCAATCCTTAGAATAACTTTCTTAAAAACATTATAAATTGAGCGCATTCTAAACAAATTTAATTTGGACTACAATAAGCTCATTGAAGCAGCTTCTGCTGCATCTTTATTTTCCCATTTGGCAATTGAATATACAGGTATGGCCAATATCACCTGAATAATTGTTCTATCTCTATTCAAAATACTTCTCTGGTTATATGTATGTCATTTGTGCTTCCCTCATCAATCTGTAGGGAACATCATCTTTTTGCTGTTGCTTTGATTCCCACCCTCACCCTGTTTTTAATTGCCAAGAACTTTTCTTTTACTTCTGATTTTTTTTCTTCTGATTTTCTGCCACAATCCAGCCCCATCCATCCACCTTTACATCCCCACCTCTATTAATCTCCTCACTTTTATCATCCGCTGCCCACTCTGAATCATCTCCCTGCGCTTCCATTTCATTCTCTTTTCTGCCTCCCTCTCACTCTCTCCGGGTAGAGCTCAGCTGTAGAGCACAGCGGACTCTAATGGCAGATCATTATCATGCTAATTAGAGCACTTTGTAGCTGCCGCCCGTCATTCTCTCCTCCTCGCAAGCCTCCCCCTCCTCCCCTCGCACTATCGTTAAAAGGGCCACCCCCTCCTTTCCCCTCTCAACCAACCCGCCCACCTCCCCAC